AGATTTGTGTTAAAATTATTGAATTGTGCTACTATTTATTATTTTCAAATATAGCTAAATCAATTAAACTAAAACAGACTCAATAAATATATTATATATCGTGATTTTTACTTTCGCAATATGCTCTGCCGTGTGGTGTCCTACTACTTTCCGAGTTTCTAGCATCGCTGATTTGATATCATTATCATATATAAAATGAATCGTAAGCGTCAAAATACCATCATTTGCTGTAGACGTCCACATATCCGTTGTTATGGATATATGATTTACAGTAGACAGAATTTTGACCAAGATAGCTTTCATTTGATTGTAAAGTTTTGAAGTAAAACATCCTTCACTTGCGTTCGAGACGGCAATTCATATTTATTACCTAGCTCGTGAATAAATCGTTGAAAGTACTTTCGTTCTACTATACGAAATGGTTCAAGATCATGTGCTACATATTCTACCAATAACTGGTCTAATTTAATTTTACGATCGCTATTTTTATCGTAAGGAACATATTGCTTCGTCATGTAATTCTTGATTGTGACCTTTCGTCGCTTTACAGTTGTACTTGGACCAGCAACCGGATCATCACAATCGTCTGCATCTGATTCACTTGTTGTTTCAACATCATTTTGTTTCCGTAATCTATCCAATTGTAATTTGTGTTTTCGCTTACAGTGATCCAACAAATTTGAAGTGTTCCCACTGGTCCTGTATTCGTTTTTACAAATATTGCATTTGGCGAAAGATCCATCTTTATTTTTGGTAAAAATTTTCCATACCAGAGATTTCATGCTTCTGTAAAAAAAATTATACGGTTCACTTTAAAAATTTTTTGAATATCTTTGTTCTTTGATCCAGCGGCTCAGTTTAACTTTGATGAGGTCTTCTCATTCGTAAAGTATGTTGAATAATAGTAAAGTTATACTTAACAGTTCGATGAAAAAGCCAAGTCGGTAAAGGTGCAATAAAATGTGTAATGGTTTCAAAAATCGATTAAATTATACTCATTCGACGCGTTTTTTTTTTATAAAACGAAAGAATCTGGCAGGAATAAGCGTCGCCCTACCCCGCGAAACGATATATTAAATGTTAAAATTGACGACTATTGAGGTTAGGATATATGTCATGGGCTACGTTCCGTTTGACGCATATGCGCGCATTCCCCTAAAGGCCGATATTTCATGTGTCGTACGACAAGGCTTTTCAAGCCTGTTTATTGGCTGTAAAACAGAGAGATCCGAGAATCTCTCTGTCCTATAGCCAATCAACGTGCTTGAAAAGTTTGTCGACCGACACATGAAATATCGGGCAAAATGCGCTCATATGCCTGAAACAGAACGCAGCCATGGTCACGTAAGAGCCCAAACACAAGCTTTTGCATAACGCATAATACATAGTGCATAAGAGAATCAGCCAATCAAAGTATTTCTTTTCGTTGAAGTAGAAGGAAAGGAGGACTTCAGATTGGTTGATTCTCTTATTTACTATGTATTATACGTTATGTAAAAGTCTGTGCTGCCCGCTTAACACTGCGATGTGAGCATACACTGCGGTCACATTTTCATATTTTGTGGCCACATGCGCATGCGTTTTTATAAGTATGCGTCCGAAAAAGAAAATAACCACTAACGCATTTTTCATGCGTTTTCTATAAGGCTGCGTATAATGGAGGAACAGATATTAGATATTAAAATATTAGATAACCTATCAGATACCAGTTACACCGGAATACACGATTCTGATAGGTTAATATTTTAA